CTTCAATTTAATTGTTGGGAGCAAACAAGAAGTCCCACATCGGTTGGGAGAAGAAAAGAAATCCACCATATAACCCAAGTGGGCTACTCCACCCATTACCAATTGGTTTTGGGATGGAACCTCACTTGGGCCTGGTGGAGTAGGCTTGGGCCCGGTCAATTTGCTCATTAATTTCCCTACAACAATGCAACATTCAAAAAACGTTGTTGTATCCTTATACTCTATGGCAATATCGAGGTTTGCAACATACGTCTGAACGTTGCAAAAGGTCTTTGACAACGTTTTTTGAACATTGCAAAAACCTATTTTTGTTGTAGTGATTGTATCTCAAAATGCAGGTTCACTAACAACATTGTCATATTGTTTATATTGATTATCGACAAAAACCCGTTGAACATTAAATATTCTACTCTGGAGGCAACGGTTTGTATTTAGATGTTTATGAAAAACACTAACATTACCTTAAAATAACCGTATTGCCATGCATTGTACGGGCATACAACTAGCATATGAAAAGAATGATGTAATATGAAGATGTTGATCATTTTGAACTTCAAATCAAACCATAGGAGAAGTTATTTTTTCCTTCCCCCGACAAGTTTAATTTGGCTTGTAACTTCTACAAGCACCTGTTTGACAATCATTGTTTGGGAAAAACAATGTTTTAAATAGTGATTTTTAGGAGATGGTTAAAAAGTAAAAAAAAAAGAAAAAAGTTGGGTTTACATGCGAAATATTTTATTGTGTGAATGTATAGTTGAAAATAAGTACGTAAAAAAAAGAGTTTTCAAATATTGGTTGTCAAACAAGGGCTAAAGGGGTCGTGGAGGAGGAGGTGTGAGAGAATCTTTTACGAAAATAACAATCTAATTCACTTCATCAAACAGACAAAAGAAATAAAAATAAACAACAGCAAGAGTTCAATAGTGGAGGAGGGGAAAAAAAAAAAAAAAAGGCAGTTCTAAGGCAAAAAAAAAAAGGCCTTTTTAATTTGTTTTTAAAAATTAGATGAAGAGAAACGAGAGGCCTCGTGCGTTCTAACTTGTACTCAAAAGATGTTCCAAATAATCAGCACCTAAGTCCTCAAAAACCACCACATTTTCCTTCTTAACTTCCCTCTCTTTGCATTTCTTTCTTTTCCTCATGGAGTGTCTCCTCTTCAATGCTATAACCGGCGAACCCCCATCCTCCTCGTTCACCATGGGACACCTCATTTCGTGCAGCGAGTTGAGCACTCTCTCCACCGAAAAGTTGAGAATCGCTGCCTCACCGCGCATTGAAAAAGCAGCTTGATCATAAGCTAAAGCTGCAGCTTCTGCTGTATCGAACGTGCCTAGCCAAACCCTTATGCCATTTCTGGTGGAATCCCTTATCTCTGCTGCAAATTTTCCCCACGGCCTCCTTCTTACGCCTCGGAATGACTTTTCTTGAACGGGTTTTCCCTCGACTTCTGGTCTTGAATTGACTTCATCTTCCTTCATTCGATCAGAGGAAATGGATTCTGAAATTTCTTGATCAGCAGCTTGTGCTAGAACGCCAAACAGAAGCATTTCTTCAGAGTCATTTTCATTGAAAGGAAGTGAATTTTGCAAATCCCATGTACAAGATTCTTGTGATGATCCAAAGGATGAATCAGAAGAAAATTCAGAACTGAAGGAGTGAAAAATAGATGATTTCATTTGGAAAATGGAATGGAATTTTCTTTTGTGTTTCTTTGCTGATATATTCTGGTAGAAAATATATATATATATACACACACACATATCCTTGAGAATGGGGTCTCTATAAATAAATACGTAAACTGTAAGTGGTTGAAAATAAATATTGTGAAAAAGTGAGGGCAGGAAAGGGAAAAGAAATAGGGAATCGAAAATTTTACACGTTGAAAAACTGGCGGCCAGGTCAATTAGTTGATATCACCATTCACTAGGATTTTCTGATGTAGAAAAGATGATAGAGCGGATTGATGAACAGTTGGATCGAAAAGGAAAAAATACTAAATTGTAAATATGGCGTACAAGTTCAAATTTGGGTCCATAATATCCTTTCGAAAAGGAAACAACGAGCCATATTGAACTCATTACTTTACTGTGATGTGAGGTAGATTTTCTTCATCTCAGTTTCTTTAGGACTCGAGAACTGTCATTTAGTTTATTTCGAATTTTTTACAATTTTAATTCCTTTAGGTTAGGTTTTCGTTTAAACTCTTACAAATAAATGGTTAATTCATTATTTTTGGGCATTTTGGAATTAATAAAACTTCTTGATTTTATCTTTCATTTTGTGGTGGATTCCAGATTTGTGTTCTTAAGGTTTTTTTTACTTGAATTCCTTGTTTTGCGCTTCTTCATTTTCTTATCTGAGGTTTCGTGGCCCTTGTCCTGTTTGTCTTGACTGTCTCCGATGATGTTAATAGGGGCCTCCAAACTCATTGAATCGGATTGACAGGGTCAACAAACCTTAGGTATATTGGGGTCCTGCATGGCTCGTGCCAATCCATACTTGAACTTATGTATTAATCATGAGCAACGTGGTACACAAGTTTATGATTGAATTCAAGCTCAATATAAGAATAAATTACGTGAAAAGCTTCTACAATAATTATACTTCACACGCTATAATTATCTTTTTTCACGATCGAGATAGAATTTAAGAACGTCACATTATACGTCTCGAGCTCATTACAAATTGGTTGGAGTAGAACATATTTGGTTGAATATGATTTTTTGGTTTATGATGTAGTCTAATTTAATAATATATTAAAACATGATACTAGATTCTAGTTGGTCCAATAAGTAATGTAGGAACGTTCCTTAGATATCTTTACGCACGTTTCTATTGAACTAGGAATACAAATTGCCTTCTATTTTATATTTCCAACGGTTTTTGATTTGTCAATACCAAAGAACATTCAAACAATTGACTCTATTTGCAGGGAACGAATCTTCTCGTTCTTTAATTTGATAACCATGCAAATATATTAATGAAGAATTTGATAAGTGGCAGCAGACTTTTAGACAAACATGAGTAAAATTGAACTCTTCTTGATACGAGGTGTCATTCTCGATATTGATATTCTTTGAATTCTTCGATTCTCAATTAAGTCAGAAATATTATTATTTTGTGTAATTAAGAACAATCGTCAAATTACTTGACGATTGACAGTCAAAAACCCTTCGATTCTTAAATGGGACGGTGTTTTAGAGAAGAGAGAGAATTAGACAGAATTTTGGCTAGAATTTCAAACTTTAACAAATGACTATATTCCTATCTTATCCTTGTGTACTACGTGTGATCATGCATATGCAGCACTGCCAAAGTATATCTAGTCAATTTTGAAGGTCACATTCATTACCATAGCGAATTAGTTGTAATCAAGCTAGAGAATATTAGCCAAATCAAGCCACTGTGGGTTGACCCCAACTCAGAGCAAGGTTGGGGTATGACAAAAGTCGAAGAGTCAGTCGACTCGTGGCTAGGCTTAATTGTTACAATTTCTTTCTTGTTCAAGGCATAGATCACATATTTATCATGCAAAATATCGATATAAAAACAACGGTATTGAGTTTCCAAACTGAATGCATTCCAATATCGTATGATCTATTATCTTGTAAAGAATTATCTTATTTAACCCCAATTTGGTTGGGATTAAAATCAAAATTTTAATTCAAAAAGAGTCAAAAATTAATTTTAATCACATGTTTCATGTGCCCACAACTTTTAAACTACAAATTTCATCCTTTTTTATTAAAATCTACCAAAAATAAAAAAATA